ATTAAAATATTATTAAGTTATTAAAATATTATTGAGTTATTAAAATATTATTGAGTTATTAAAATATTATTGAGTTATTAAAATATTATTTATTAAAAGGTATCAGAAATATCCCATGCAGCTAAGCATTGCTCTACTTTACTGACCGACGCGACTCGAGTAAGAATAACAACTTAGAACTTTACTGCAACGGCATCTAGTGAACCATGAATGAGAAGTGAATTATCTAACCAACCCAAAATACTCTGTCAACTAACAAAAATGGCGCATTAGGTAAGGTAACACAAGTCCTGTTGATATTTACAACGTTGTTTAATTTAATTAATGGATGTACGCAAACTGATGATCAGAATGACGATATTCCGCAGGAAATGGCTCATTTACACCAGTCACGTGACTATCATTCAAGATTTTCCAGCCAGAATAATAGGTACTGAACTATACGTTGCTACTCGTTTCACCTAATGGTGAACGGAGTTGTTGGGTTAGTCTTAAAAATACATGAAATCATTGATCACTGAATGAGATATAAAGAGATGTGAACTGACTAACTTCTTTAGGGTAGCCATCCCAGGATACTCTGGATGCGAATACAAAATGGCGCACTAGGTAAGGCCACAAGCCCCGATTATCTCTATACTTTCAATATTTACTAGTCGTACGCCAATTGATACAGAATGACGATATTCCGATGGAAATAAACAAATAAGTAAATAAGTAAATTGAATAAATAAACGATAACATGATGATATTTCGACGAAAGCGGCTCACTTACATGACAGTCACGTGACTGCTATTTCATTCAAATCATAAGGCATAAGAACTAGGTGTGAACTTGAAGTCACAACATTCCAATTTCCTACTGGACCGCATAAGAATGACTCGGCCTACCACAGGTAGCCCGAGTAAGTATTTATAGCAACCCTATAAAATGAAAGTATTCGTAGCAACCACGTAAAGTAAGAGCTCAAAAAAACAAAAAAACAAAAAAAACTGAGATCCAGGACGGATCTGTTGAATTTAATAGTGAATTTTGGTTGTGCATGAAATAGCTAATCTTTAATCTTATCTCTGCGCGTCGGTGCTGACAGTTGGATAACAATACTCATAATCCGCCCACACCCAAAGGAAATGAACAAAATTTGGGGAAAACCGGTCGTAACTGGTTTCTAGGGGTGGGTCATAAAGTACACCCTTTTATGGCTCAATAGAAATGTTCTCAACTATGTCCGCTAATCCTTATAAGCAATATATAAACTACACTATGAATCCAATATATGCTTATTTTGTATGAATATCTCTTGCGCTTTGAACTGAAGCCTTTTGTCCTAATATTGACCACTTTAATGAGAGAAAAACGGTATTTCCGGTAAGTGTCGATCAAGGCACCTAAATAATAGCCTTCCGTCCGACGATTGTCTTTCGATTTTCCAAGGTATTACGGTATGTGGACTTAGTTTCTAACCTTTCCCGCCCTTCTTCTCTAAACCTTTTCATATTCACTCTTAAACGCTCTAATAATAATCCTTTCGATTTCTTTTCTTTACAAATTTCAATATTACGTAAAGCTGATACAATGTTATTGCTGCCTTAGCCCACGTTTGCGACTAATTTAGAGTTACGTGCTATGTTGTAGAAAAGGAATTAATTTTGTTTACGATACAACACCTAACCTTGGCCTTGTGTGTTATCGTCAGTAAATATTTGCTTTTTTGCACGAAGTTGAAGTGACGATACTAACTCGCCTGCAACATGTGCTTTTTTAAGGAGCCAGTTTTTGGTTCTAATTATAGAAAACACCGAAATAGCAATGTTCAGTACTATAAGGGGTGTTAGCATTCAGCATCAGCAGATATAACAACGATTACAGCATGCAAATAAGTAATGTCAAGTCAATAATCTATCCACCGCAAACATTCCTGCCCGGCCATGTCATTATATGTATTTCGCTTGCTTTAATATATTACATCATCATCGAGACCATATTCCATGTTTTTCAATAGTTTCAACCAATAGGATTCTAGATTTCTGTCCTATTTTTCTTCACTTCAATTCTTCAACTGTCACGTCATCGCGAGATCAGAATAAAAAAAACAACTTGAGCTACAAGATCAGGTTTCAATCAATTGTTCAGAAAATCCACAAAAACCGAGTTGGTTGACGTCTTTCACATTCAGAGTTTTGGTTGGTGTTGGAGACAGATCTGAATCCTGCGGCAGGCAGTCAGTGGCAATCGAGCGAATTAAAGTTCACTTGCAAAGTTAAGAAAAGAACGATTCTCAAGGTAAGGGTCACGCAGATGGCGTTTCGAGTGAATATCGCATACATTTAACACAGACGAGACAGAATTATCTAGAATGAGACTGAATACGTTCAAATCACCGCAGGATATACTAACTGTGAGAGTGTGGGTGGAAAATCGTCTACCATTCACCAATTCTCTACCTTCTATCGTGAATATTGGTTTTTAAATCATTATAATGTACGATAAACTGCAGTACAATTGTACAATTATCATAATAAGTGCCTTTAAACAAAAGCAAGAGAAATTTTCTTAGAGGATGTATCAAACAAAGCATCGGTGTGAAGAAACGACAAGGCTTCGACTCGTGTTGACAAAAATTCATGAAAAGCGAATGGAGAGAAGCAAGCAAAAATAATTCAGTCTAATATAATAAAAAAATACCAAAATATAGTTCATTGACTACGGCTGGGAATAAACGTAAATTAATGTAAAAATAGTTCTAATTGTGATACAAAAGAATAATATTTTTGTTACTGATCCTTCGATGAGAATAAATCCGAATCAACATTTTTTTCTCGTTTCTCGAACAACTTTTGTAATCGCTTGTTGGTACGGGAAATGAGGAGAGCGGAAGTGATTAGGACAACACCTAGATTGTACTTTGTATCTCGGTTAGTGAGTCGGTTAGTGATGATTATAGTTTTGACCTGTTTAGGGTCGATAAGAGGATTTATGAGAGGCTAATCTCGATATTCTAAACGGTAAATATTTCACTCCTTAACATTTGATTAGTGTTTTAAACCACAATGGCGTTAAATTTAAGGACTGACCTCTTGGTGGCGGAGTGACGTCATTTCCTTCATCCCCTAGTGTCGACCACAATTTCATAGATGGTTAATCTTGTTTTTGTGTCTATTTGGCGTCTGTTTATGGGATACAGAAAACAAGCCATTACACTTGACACAGAATAAAACACTACTCATAGCTATATCACCGACTAAAATCTTATATTAGAGTGCAAACAATATAACCGTGAAACTTTAGTAATAGTAAATAGCACAATTTCATGCAAATTCCATTGTTTTCTATTGTTTAATTAGCACTATTTTGTACTATTTAGTAATTAGTGTTTCACGGATTAATTAATTAATTTTTTTAATTAATCTAATGGTTACCACTTAAAGGTACATAATTATGAGATATCTATATATTATTACTTATAATAAATATGGCTGTACTAGGATAATACTAAGATTATATTGTAATCTATTATTATATTATGTATCACATTGTGTAGGTGTTGAACAGCAATATACATTATGATAAATATATATTAAGAAATCAAAATATTTATGAGAATTTTCTTATCCAACAGAGTAGAGCACCATGGGGTTTTCTCTGGTAAGGCGCAACAGCAGCAAGAGGAGGAGCTTCCGTCGCACAGAAAACAGAGATCGTAACAGTGAAACAAATTCAACCAGGTCAACATCGAGTCAAGCCAATAACACCAGTAATCGTGCCAGTAGAGAAATTGGAAGTGTTTTAAGAAGAATTGGCGATCAGCTCAATAATAGTCAACTGAGTCTTAACACTGCTCTATGACCGACAAAAAACATTGGACATAGCAAAACAAGTTTAATACTGTATTGTTTCTATCAGAACAGTAAGTTAATATCATCCTCAAGTTAGAAAATTGACAACTTCAGTAATTGATGTTTAAATGAAGAAGATGAATTGACTTGATGAAAGGAAAATTACCATCATCACAAGAACCACCAACAGTAATCAGAATAATTATTCTCGAACTAAAAACTATAGTAAAAATATTTCATACATTGATGAGGTTCTTAAGGATTATTATTTCACTCATTAAAGATTGTAAAAAACATTAATGATAAATATTTGATGTTTTGTTTCATATAAAAGATATGTTTCAGTTAAATGAAAAAACATACATAATTGATGATTAATGATAAAGAAAATGCACTCACAAAATCATACTTAATTTGTCCAAAAAACTATAAAGGAACATTCATGCAAGAAACCTTCCTATAGAAAGATCAAGTTTAAAAACTCTTAATGTAGTTTTGTAACAATTGAATAAATGTTTAGCTAAAAATTGATGATTGACGACTGTATTGTATTGACTATTTATAACTGTATTAAAGTATTATTGCCTTGACTACATATCACCATCTTCTTTTTTCCCCCCATCAGAGTCAGGTGGTGGACGGACTTGTACAAATAATGCTGTGGATGTAGCATATGTTATAGACCCATCAGGGTTCTTCATTTCTCCATAACCAAATACCTTCCTGCCTTCAACACGGTCTATTCTACCTTCCAGTAGAGCTGTAGTACCAATAGGTACTCCTCTGAAACAAAATAGTCCACAGTGTTAAACTTTAAGTCAGGGATATAATAAACATTTATCAAATTGAGCTGATCCTCACAGTATATGAAGCAACTTATGCATGTTCAAATTGAAGGACTCGGAAAAAATTCTGAGTCTTGAATGGGATTTGAACCCGCGCCCTGGCGATTTAAACATTTTAGGAGAATGCTTAGGAGGATTCAGTTTAAAGGTCAAGAAGGAAACAACAGAGTATCATGAAATATTTTAACCACCCTTCATCAAAACCTTTCCCTATTCCCTCGCCTTTCCTTCCTGAAGTAAGGACAAAATCTTAGTCCTCTACTGATTGATTAGTTTAAAAAATCAACAGTTTTTGAATGAGTCTGAGCAAAATATTGCAATTTTGCAACTGTTAGCATTCAGATATTGCCAATCTCAGAGATAGATAATGACAAATCATGACATTTTTAACACTCATTTTATCATTTAATTGACACATGCAAAGGAAAGGGGGAAAAATTATATATTTCTTGCGCCAAAACAAAAACATAATTTGTTTATAAACTTTTTTAATAAAGTTATCGATAGCAGGGGATTAGTAATAAACTGGAGCATTTATTACTTACTTTTTAAAGTTCACAGATAGGTTTGCAGTAACTGAAACATAACCACTACCATGGATGCATACACCAATGATACTGTCCATTACAGTTGATATAGCACCTCCATGTACGTACCTGAATGAAATGGGTTCATATAAACATGTTATATTGGCAGGTCAGTAGCAAGGTAAAAATATTGAGATGGGGCTATTCTAAAATGTCCTATGTATTAGTAACAGACCTAAAATTTTCAGCGTTCAAGGTATACAGTACGACAAAAATTTTTGGTGGGTGGCAAAGGCCCCCCCTGTAATGGGCCTGAATGGTATATCTAAGAATGGACCTCTTTGCCTTGGGTAAAATGTTTTCTCATTTCAAACCACATGTCATTACACAGAGTATTATTTCTTTGTTTACTGGTTGTAAATGAGAAGACACATGAACAAAGATAATAGTAAAACGAAGAATCTTATTCTTATGAATGACAAGTGGTCTGAAATGGGAAAACATCATGGTCAAGGTAAAGAGGTCTATTGCTTAGGAAACATTATATTTGGTACATATAGTTACACGTTTTTGGCATTGCATGTGAATAATAAAGTTTTTTATCTCTCCTTTGGTTTGAGGGTTTTTGCTGGGTTCTTCAGGATTTTATCCCTAGATCGGGCCAAAATTTGTTTCAGAATTCAATTTTTTTAGCAAAAGCAGGAGAAAAAACATAAATAGCACAAAAGGGTAATAAACTGACACAGAATGACAAAGTAAAGAGAGGCAGGAAAAATAGGAAAGGATATCATATAAATATTTTTGGTAGGAGTGGAGGAAATGAAGAAAAGTGAGAAGGAAAATAAATGACAGAAAGGAAAGAAGGATGAAAGGAAAAGAAGGAGGGGAGGAAGTAGAGTAAAATGTACACTCATATACAGTGTATATTGTAAGAGATGACGTACCCTTTTGGTCCTTCAGTATACGGTCCAAACTGAACAACTCCTTTGAGGCGTTCCTCTCTCTTATTCATAAACATACTGTATTCAAACAATTTTCCTTTCTGATCCCAAAGACATCTTGTGAATAGTCTATTTCCAGTTAAAGGTGGAGTTTTTCCTGGCACTTTTATCCATAATCCATTGCTTGCATCAGCTTCATTTTTTAACTTGTTAAACAGTTCTACAGATTCCTTAGTCCAGCCCTCATTTGGCACAGCTCTGTCATCTTCAATATCATAATCTACGACTGATTTTGTTCTGGCCTAAGAGAGAACCACCAATGTTAATATAAATATGGATTGGTGGGATAGGGGGATGGATGGATAGGCAGGATGGCTGGCTAGTTAGCTGGATGGATGGGTGGGATAGACAGAATAGATGGGATGTGGGATAAGTGCATTGGATAGCCCTATTGCATGTGACATCAAGGAGCTTGATTTGAAGGATAATACAAAAGAATTACAATCTCCTGAGGATTGCAAACCTATTGTTATGTCTTCCAAATTAAACTGCATTCTGATGTACTGCAAGGGGTCTATAGCGCAGTTTTTGTATGACTGTGAAAAGTTCACGGCACGAACAAGGTCCAGACACAGCAAGGGATACGCCAGACCAATTACATTGCACGAGAATTTACTCTCCATCCAATCAAATACCCGGAACACGGCATAAACACGGCGCGGACACGGTCACCCCAAGATCACGGCACTTTTAGACCAATCATATTGCGCGTTAAAAAAATCAGCCAATTAAAATTCTAGAAAGTATCACGGTCACGGCACGTCACGCTTACGGCACTGAGCTTTTCACAGTGATACGAAAACTGCACTAGGTTGAAAAAGACCATGAGCGTAAATATGGATGGACAGATAAAAGATAAGACTGTAATGATGATATACAAAACCATTCCTTCAAAAAATTCCTTACCATTTCTTTTTGTTCCGTATTCATTTCACTTGAATTCAAAGCTGCATTACAAGTAAATGAAGCTTTTATGTTTGTTCTGTTTGATGAAGACAAGAAATGAGAAGATATTCTGCTTATTCTGCCAACACTTCGTCCTCCAGTGGAGAAGTTAGACATACGTCTACTAAATAATCTAAAAACCTCTTTGCGGGACGCTTTAAATACCCTTAGCCTATACATACGAAACACTAACTACTTCAGTACCAACTAATAACACTTAAGAATATAATTCCATCAACTTTTACCGGCTTTTTTAAGTCATAAAGTTCAAATATTACGTAAAGATCAACTTATTTACGAAATGTAAACGCGCGCACTGGATATCCATCGATAAATGTTCGTAACTCAATCGGGAAGTCAATAACCACTCGGTAGCTGTTGCTATGGTTATTATTTCATCCCAGGGCTCTCTCATTTAGAAGGTTACCATAGTAACAAGAGTAATAAAGAGTCAGAGATCGAAGCTCCAGCAACAAGATAAAGAAGGATCTCTTTTCTTTTGTAAATTGGCTCCTATTTTGCGCTTGTTTTATAAATTTTAGTATTCATAACTGTATTATAAGATGAGTGTAAGGACGTACAACCATTCTGTGCTGATTGGGAACTGGAATGAAGACATCTGCTTGGAAGAAGTAAGCCATTCAAATCAAATTCACTTCCTGCCGTTTTAATATATCTTTATCTTATTTTCCGACGACTTTCTTTAATAGTTATTGTTACTTCAGTTCTTTAGTATCAATATCTTATATTTTAAAAGGGTTTACAATACTTTGTGCTTTTGGTTTAGAAGTATTTCTAGTCATAACAATTTACATTGACTTGGCAGGGCGTCTGTAAACAAGTCGTTTTACCATTATTTTTGTTATAATCAACAGGACAAACTCAAAGATTTTCTCGACAAGAAAGAAAGAGGTGAATTGTTGATACAAAAAGCTAGTAATCTTCTCGGAAACATCTTAAAAAAGGTAAAAAAAACTTTCTTTTTATTTACACTTACTTGCATGGCAGCCATTTGTAATGGTGCCAATTTCTCTGTTTTCAGGGAGAGGGGGTGGGGGCATCCTTTATATCAAATCCACATTCCTTGTTATGTAAATCATATGACATTTTAATTATGCTTTATTATTTTCATTTCAGGTTGACCTGTCCATATCTCATGATGGATTTCTTCATTTTGGTGATGTGGTCTGTCTGTACAACCCAGCCCATCAAGTATTACTATCAGCAAACATGTCAGAGGCCAAGATGCAAGATGCTAAGTGTCTATCAGGGCCTTGTGAATTATCAGCTTCTAAATCGCTACAACCTTGTGTTAGAAACACTTTTATTATTCTAAGGTAACCAAGTCTTGCAGTGTTAACTTTCTGTCTTAGAAATGTTTCTTGTAATCTCATAAATTATTTGCGCTCCCAACCCCCTACAGTTTCCTTCCCTCCCCGAACCATAGGCGAGTGCTTCTCACACTTTTTGAGTGCTTCCTAAGTGCTTTATTACTGAATGGAGCACTGAAAAAGCTGTTTTTTGGGTTTATTATGTAGCAATTTTTCCCATTATTGAATTTATTTATTTAAAAAGAAAGATGACCGCAGGATCTAGCAGCACTTCACGCATGCAGATGGCGTCAGCACTGTGCTTATTATACAATAAATATGTATAATGCACTGTGTGATATAATGTATATTTCTAAACAGCCCTGATGCCAATCAAGAAGGTCAAGTATTGAGATACGGACAGCCATTCATCCTGAGCACACTGCCAGGTGTTGGTGGTGAGGTAAGGAATCTCTGAGCTGAGCAATTCTATGGTACATACATAGGCTCATTCATCAAATGTTTAGGTTTTTGGTAGCGATGGGATATCTTTGATATATACTGCATGGATAAGTTCATTTGGTTGTTGGGAGGATAAAGAGTTAATGGAAGACTTTACATTTCAGCTGAAGGTTCACAGTGACCGTGTTTCATTTAACAGAGCAGCAAAAAAGTCAAGGAAACAAGAGGTTAATCTCACAGAAAACACATCATTCACAGCACATTGGTGAGCACCAGTTATTTAGAAATTTGTGATTTTTAAGACACAATACCCTAGAATAATGATGAGAGGGTTGGGTTAAGGGTATATTGCACTGTTGAGCGGTTGAATATCTGTGATACAATACCCTGGAATGCTTTTAGGAAACTATGTCTATCTTTTATTTTGGGTCCGTTTTTTTTTGTCCCGTTTGTAGTATATAAATTTGTTACCATCTCTTTTTCCAGGAATTTCCTGTGTTTTAATCCTCAAGAGCGACTGGAAAGCGATGGTATGCCAGTGCCGGTATGTTATCCAATTTTTAGGCATATTTTAGTGCTGTAGTTCCGTGTCTAAGGGTTCTGATTGGTGGAGCTTTGTTGCGCGTCATGATTTCTTTAAGTTTCACAACCCCATGGTCTTTCACAGTCTTGCAAAAAATGTTGTATTCGCAAGCTATCTTACAAATCATATTTCAGTAATTTAAGTGTCCAAATCCACTATGAATGAGAACTAAAATCCAGCGATGCTGAATGTGGAGATGGAGATCAGCTGGGTTGTTTTCTGGGTCGATATAAAGCGCTACCAAGTCCTGTAAGCACATCATCGTAACTCAATGTGCAATATGCTACCTTCGTAGATACACTGTTGTTTTTTATTCCCAAGACTCAATCTTGCTCACTCCCAAGAGGTTTGACATGAGACCTGAATCATTATGCCCAAAGAAAAGGGTTCAGTCTTAACACATCTTTCAACATTTCTTTCACCGTTTGATTTTCACTCAGGCCAACCAAAGAATCCTTGTCAACCATTGTAAGACGAATCAACATCTAGCGTGCATGCCAGAATTCTCCTCGCGGTAAGCCTACATAATACTAATCTTTTACATATTTGCACGAGAATACACGTGAATTGGTTTGTTCGCTGTCTTCCAATCTCTCGCTCAGCTTGTGTGCTTAACGTTTTGAGCTGAAAATTGGGAGTAATGGAGTAAAGGTATGGTGTTACACGAGACGATTCGCAATGACGATTTTTCGCATAACATTGTTGCGCAAAAAATAGTCTTCGTGTAACATGGTGCACGGCTACGATTTTTGACGATATTTTGTTGCGGCAACATGTTGCAGGTTTTTAAACCACCTTCAAGCCACACAACATTGTTGCCATCGATTTGTATTGCCGCGCGCCCCATGTTATGTTACGCACTTTAATGCTACAATATTGCGCTAATGATCATCTCGTGTAATATCATCTTTAACCATTATGGAAAGCCGCCTGTTAGTACCTCTTTTTAACACTCTAACGATACGTCCACAGCACACCATTTGGCCGAGAGTTCGAGGTTGCATCCCACACTTTCTTTGACTCCCATCGAGCTGAAAAGCCTGTGAATCACTGGGTTGTACTAACACGAATGGTAGAAGATGCTGCAGAACAATACGAAGTAGAGAAAGAACAAATGATGAAACCAAGTCAAAACCTGGAAACATTTGACGAACCGCCTCAAGGTGGAGCTACGTATGCAACACAACCAGACAATCCCGCGCAAACCAATGGATCGTAGATATCTTTAATTTATATTATATAATTTGTTACCCAACTGAAGGGTTGAATCAAGAATGGAAGATTTATGACTGATTTATTTTCAAACCTTGTACAGCCTGTAAATTATTTGTATTAGTAAAATGTTTCAAAAAATCCTTCAGAAGTATTGAGTTTATTGTGTGGCCAAAGATTTGGTGACAAACACAATATGCACTTTGTAAAACAAGCAAAAATAATTGTCATGCAGCTGCGCAACGATTAAAATGATTGAATGATCAAAGCTAGAAGAACAATCAAGCTATGATCGATAACAAGCGAGTTTCTTGGCGCGTTAAGTTAGCATTGAACTACAAAGTTTGTGTCAAGAATGCGACGAGAAACGGAACGAAATTCCTCATTAAACGCAGGGACCATTTCTCATTTCTCGTCCCAATCAATTTGCAGCATCCCAACTGTTGTCCTGTAAGGAATTTTGACACGCCTTTCTATTTTCCATTCCAAGTGACCTTAATTTTGTGCCCAGTTTATCAAATTCCATTTTTCCAGCAAAAATATATAAGGGAATCAGTATCTCTCAGTTTTCATCCGTAACTCCTTCAAGACAATCTCTGCTGTCGTAGACTATGATTCGAAAAAATGGTTCAGTTGAACGTAATGGTACCCAATGAATTACAATTCAGAACATTGCATTAATGTTTAAGCGACTTAATCAAATTAGCTTGTTGATGGAAGTACATCTTGGGTTGGTAAGGGTCAAAGAGAAAGTGCAGGACCACAAGCTGGGGCAATTTAAGCACATCTGGGAGACCGATTAACAATAATGTAGGTTACTCCCCCACTTGGCTGACTTATCACTAGTAACTTTATAGATTAGGCAAGATTCCCCCAATGAAAACCACAAAACAAAGTATCGATGTCCTTCTTGATGCAGGCAAAACGATAGTAATGAAAAGATGTGATTGTAAGTTAGTGATGATGTACTGTATTATGAAGACTGTTAACAATCGCGTCTTGCGCTTGTCAACGATAACGGGAATGTTGTAAATACTTGATCTGCGCTTGAGTTTATTTAGTTTAAATTTCAATATATTAAGGACCTAGGATAGTTTATATAAGTCAACCAAACAAACTACCAACTTTACTGCCTCCGTAATAAATTAAAACACTTTTGCTATTTCGCTAATTTTTTTTTAATATAAGGAGTTTAAAAGTTACGATTGCAAGAAGATTGAGCAAGATTAAACTTGCCACACAGTAAACTCAAAGTCGTGTTACATTTAGTGCGCTCTTGAAGAAACGAAGCCAACTGAATAAAAATGCAAGTTTCTAAAGTTCTTCATGCTTTGTGGTATCTTGTCCAACTTCATTTTCATTTTCACTAACTTGGTTGTCTTTATCTTTCTCGTCGTACCCTTCTTGCTCATCTATCGGCAAAGAGGACCACTTTATGTACGGTTCCAAAGCTACTTTTATGTTTCCTTTAAGCTCTTCCTGGGACACGAGACCATCTGCGTCACTGTCCAATTTATTGAAAAACTAATAACAAATAAATACATAGTACGTTGTTTTTTGATGTGATCTTAAAAGATGTAAACTTAGTTTCAGAAGTCCAAATTGTCATTTATAGAATCACGCTCATGTGGCATCTATTATATGATAGTGAGAGGGCCGCCTAGTCTATCGTTGCGAATGACGCATTAATTCAGTAAATGAAAGTTAAAGGCCTGAAAATTCATTGGCATTCATGGCTAAACTAAGAACGGAGACAGAATAAGGACTTGTTACCTCAGTTGCAAACTTCTCTGTCCCATCCGCATCCTTTTAAAGAAGTGGAAGATGGAATAAATGAAATAATGAAGAAAGATAAAAAAGATTAGAAAATGAGAAAGTGAACGGATAAGACAGTTGATGCTCCAGTGAATTAGTGAAGGGAATAAACGAATGAAGAACAGTCAAGAAAATGAATTGACACACAAATCCGCAGAGTACCTTGGTGTAACGATCAATAAAAGCACTTCTTTCTATTTGGACGTCTTTTTGCACAAGATCATCGAGTATTGCTCTACGAAAAATAGGAGGTAGAATGAGAATTTTTAAATCATGACGGCTCGAAAATAATAGGATGGAATGCCAATGTTCTATGACTAAGTGGTGAGAAGGAACAGAGGAATGCGTATTTTTATATAAGTCATTGTACATGCTCGACAACATGAACTTATAACAGTACTCTCGTATATCAACCCACCTGATAGTTTCTATCCCAACATATCCATACTCATATTCTTCTGTGTTGGTAATATCAGTCCCTTCTGAGGCCAAGGTTAGCTTGCGCATCTCATCACGTGTCAAACTGACAACTTTTTTGAGGGCCATGATACCTTTTTCTTGCAGTTGATCAAACCACTTGGGAAGGAGATAACATATTAGGGGCATCACATGAAATGAAGGAAGGAAAGAAGGAAGGAAGGAAGGAAGGAAGGAAAGAAGGAAGGAAGGAAAGAAGGAAGGAAGGAAGGAAGGAAGGAAAGAAGGAAGAATGAATGAATGAAACAATGAACAAGTGAAAAAACGAAAGAACAAATGAACGAATAAATGAATGGCTGAAAAAAAAAAAGGAAGGACAGAAGTAACGAGCTCACCCATTCTGCATTATCCCTAATAAATTCCACATAATACAGCTTCTTTTCCTACAAAAAATTACAAAATCGATGACAATCTCAAATTCATGCACTAGAGTGAAATAACTTGCTATAAAGTGCTAGTTATTAATATTTAAATGAAATTTGAGCTAACAAACCTTTAATTATTTATTAATTAATGATGGATATTATTATCTTTAAAACATCTACTAGCAATTTTTTCTGCTCTTGTTTTTTTTACTAATATTCCATTATTGTTTAGAAATTGCTTATAAACCTTTACAAACATTTTACCTTTTCAACAGGTGATAATGGCATTTTTCCCATCTCCAAGGCCTCTTCTCTTGTTAATGTTTTCTTGTCACCAAAAAATAACTTGATAGCCTCTCTTAACATAAATTTGTCATAAAGATCTTAGTACAATATACTTTTGGATTGGGTGTCGTAAGGACCACAGAGCATCAAATTTGGTAAGGGGGGGTGAGGGGCTAGATTTGAAAATATACAATGCAAAACAGAGAAGTCACTTACACGGAAAACTGCACTGATTTTATGATTGAGTCACAAACTCCTCACCTTACAGTTTCTACATCTGTATTACCCATCGACAGATTACCATGTCCTGTGTACTTCCAGTCAATATCCATCTCACTAAGGGGGGTAGGGTGAAGAGTTTTGTTACAATCACTGAAGTCCAGGTCATCAACATGGTCAAAACGTGAGAATAACAAGGCTACTGCTAGATTGTGACTTCCAAAGGATGACACCTGGTGATAATAACCTAAAAGATAATAGTAAAAATACCTAACAAGTTTCAAAATGTTCTTGGTATAGTGACTTTTATGGTATCCCTGTGTTACCTCAGTATTTGTTTATTGGAGAGGAATTGAGAAAATAGTGTACCCTAACCCTCTTGAGCCTTATTTTTGATGAAGCCCCCATATCCCATCCTCCTCTCTCCCTGGTATAAAATGATTATCCTCTAACTCACTCACCCTCTGCTAATTTCTAAGTGCAAGTTATACTACTATAGAAGTGAGATTGATAATTTGCGTAACAACATAATGAGTCAACAATATTTAAAGACATACTTTTAGGAAGAAAGAGACAGTCACCAGCATAGATTGTCAAGTTAGACCATGGTACCTCTGATACCAAAGGGTTCTTTAGTAGGTCTACCTTATTTACATTAATCTTTGAGTACCCGCCGATCATCTGTGGAGGTTCCCATGCCTTATAGATCTTATCTTCATACTTGTATTCAATCATTTTCCATTGTTTTGTTCCATTGTACAGACAGTTAATTGCATTAAAAGCATCCTTATGTAGTATACTTGCAGTACCTCCACCACTCATCCAAATATCAACTTCAACAAGACGGTCCTTGAAAGTTCCACAGGTAAGTGGGGGTATAACGCTAACATACTTGTACAATGGTGATGGGAGCTCTGACACAATATATGCCCTGGACCCATTATTGTGGTAATTTTTGACAAAATTACCTAAAAAAATCACAAAATCTTTATCAGATGTAAGCTTGATTTGATTTGTCAGTGTTATACATTAGTATTTATCAATGGTGATTTAGGAGTTGTTTTTCATGATAACACAGTTACAGGTAGAATATAATTTTCGATAATTAGAGCCATTCTTCAACGTTTGCAACTAGTTTGATGATTGGCTTAATAAACAATAAATAGGATTAAAATGACAATAGATTGGTTTTGAAAACTATTAAACCAAAAGTTAATTAATAAGTTAACTTAACAAAAAAATCTCAAACTTTCAACGAGACTAACTCAATGTAAGCAATTTATACAACTTAAACAAAAAGAATCAAAATACCTATAGTATCCCGTCCTATTCCTTTAGCTCCTATAGGTATAGCACTGCTTTTTTCTTTCTTTCCTTCAAGTCGTACTTCAAGATCGCCATACTTTGTTGACAGAAATTCGTCCGTCCATTCAGTGAATGCTCTAGAGTATTTCGCGGCTCCACGTAAAATCAAAGGCCTTGAGGGCTTAACATATCTATTCCAGAACTCCTCTGGACTTGGCCATTCGTTTGTTTCATCTACGAGATCTGTCTCAGCCGGACGATGTGATCCTAAAGGCTGTAGATGACCTACAGGTATGTTTGAAGACTCGAGTCGAGTACTTAACAGGGAAAATACGATATGAAAACACAGGAAAACTCTGTAAACGCGATCCATGATCAAGGCGCCCAAGAGAAACACAAATGAATAAAATAACACGTATAAACTTGAAAATATTACATGACGATGAATTTAATTAAATTATTCCTTGTCAGGCTGCACCAGCTGTTATGTTGCATTGGGAAGGTACACAGGAAGCCCAGTACGAAGTAATAATGGTCTCCTTGTGTGTAGTCAAGTAGAAAATAAATAATGAGTAAATTCAAGTTCAAAATTCAAAAAGGACAAGAATAAAAAGAAAAACAAAAATTAAGAGAAAGATGATAAGAAAATAAACATACATGCATAACAAAAATCAAAAATTCAAATTCAAAATTTATTTTATTTATTCACATTGTATACAAAAAGCATTGATTTATTTAAATGATATCAGCCTTTATCCATGACCATGCTAGCCCAATGATCTGAACAAGGTTCTACGGCAGAGATAGAGCTCTGTGGAATACAGCTAGCTCCTGGTATTGAATCAGGAACAATATACATATCCCAACCATGTCTGTGGATAGAAAAGTATAAGCATTGATTAATGATGATTCTACGATCCACTTACCCACAGGTTGAATGCAATAATGGCCATCATTGACAGAAATAATCTTTAAGAATAAGCACAACCATCAGAAGAGCAAGCAGAAATAATAATTATTTTTTGAAGTTATTTGGAAGCAAAATTATAGAGATTTTTGTGTTCATTAAATCCTCCACTTTCGAGTTCTCTGTTGCTCAGGGTTAGCCTCAATTTTGCCTAAAATATTTATGCTCCAGAGAAGGTCCGTGGAATTCCAAAGTTGTTTTATTGTTAATTTTTTACTTTACCATTGGTATCTATAATATTTTAAAGTAGAGTTTAATTAAAATATGAAAAATGGGTTATTAAAATACCTGATGTGAACAAGAGAATCCAATCCATTATCTGCCTGAGTATAGTATCTGTAGAAATCTCTCATGGGATCGCTAGAGTCTGATGATGCAGCTTTATAAACAAAACAAAACAGAAGATGAGGAAATCCTCAGATGATGTTTGGCAAGTTGGAATATGGAAAACAGGCTATTTTACATATACAAAGACTACAAAGACTTTTACTTCATTTCCCATTTTTGTACTTGTATTAGGAAGAATTTCACTCATCAGGAAGATTCAGTCTGCACAGCTTGCCAAATTCATGAAAAAAGATTCCTTTTAATATGTTTGAAATTATCACTGTGGATGGCAATATTTCAAGTGAAAAAATGAAAGAAATCCTAACCTTGTGCCAGCTGTTTTCTTTGCTTCTTTTCCCTTCTCTCCTTTTCTTTTTCCTCCTCTTCCTCTGCCAGCATGACAACTAGTGTTTTCTCCTCTGATTCATATAATTCATGGTGTTTTTTCATGATTTTCTCCAAGAATGCAATTTTTTCATTGAAGTATTTGTTTTGCTCAGCCACTGGTTTTGGATAAACACCTGATAAAAATAGATAATATACATAACTACAATTCTTTGTTTCTATTACTGTTTTATTTTGCTCAATTTACCTTTGAGTTCTCCTTCTTGCTTCCTAAAATTTCTAAGCTTTGTGAGAGCCAGTAATAAATTCAGTGATTTGCTTGAATCAGTTTGTTTTCTTCTAATTTCTCCAAGCAGTCCTCCTGCCTCTTGTTTCATTGATGCAGCCTGAAACAAAAGTAAAGTAACCATTTAAAGTTTTTGTATTATGAATTTTCAATCAAAAAACATAAAATTTGGTGAATGTCTCAAAAGGTTTGTCCATACAAGAATAGTAGTAGTATACCTTATTTTTTGCTTGGTCCTTTGCTATCTCATTATCACGCCAATGATCAATCCTAAGATGCAATTCAAACTTCTTTTTTTCTGAATCCAATTTTTCTTGGGCCAAAACCTGCTTTTGTTTAGTTTGCCATTTCTATATACATTAAACAGGAAAATATAGAGAAAAATCAATACATTACAAAAGGCCTGGCATATTTCTGAAAAATACCATCAAACTTACTCTTTTTTTCCTTTTCTTTTGAAGTTCAGCATTAAGGTTGTCTATATCAACTTGAGAAAACTCTTTTTGTGTGTTAATGAGTTTTTCCTGTACAAATCATTTGGAAAATCATTAGATTTACATATGGACCCTGATTTGAACCCTGAACCCTGGGTTGGACATGTAGTCAGATGGCCTTATACCTTCTTGCGCAAGTAGAAATGATGAGGATGATGATAATGATGATGATGGTGATGACCTTGAATTATCAATCTCCAACCAAATAATAATTGAGTGTTTGCTATCTTAAATTGTTTTCAACTACGTTCAATAATTATGACTTTTATATTAGTAATTGTTATTAGTTATCATAGTCTTAAATATTTAGTTATGACTTACTTTAAGAATATTTAATTGCTGTATTTCTCTCTGCCATTCAGATTCACCACATTTAATCAAATCCATGAGCTTGTCTCGCTGTGACGTAAGTTCATCCAGTAGTTGTAACCATCTCTGAAGGATATCTCTAGTTTCACCCACCTTTTGATAATTATTAAAAATTGATTGCTTAGTTTGACAGCAATGCACACATTCATCAACCAAATAGACCCCTTCACAGTTCCCTGCGGCATCTTGAAAGGTAGCCATGCCTTTGCATCGCAGTGAGAGGAACGGTGAGCTTGCAATGATAGGGACCTGTGACTAATTGTCCAAGGTATTGAAAAAGGTCTCTACCATTACAAGCTCACCGTTCATCTCGCTTCAGTGCAAAGGCACAGCTACCTTTCAAGATGGCGCAGGGAACCATATAGGGGTATATTGAGAGGTTTCTGACCTATCATGGATCACCTGACATCCCCATATGTGATCATACATCATGAGGCTTCAGCTTATTTAGGAATGTAATCACAAACCATGCAGCTACTGTAATTTTGGTTCTGTTGCATATCAGCTAACCTGAATTTACACTAGTCAAGTCAATGCCTCTTAGCTAGGCCAGTCCTCATAACTGATCACAAGTTGATCAATCTGTTGCGGCCAGTTATCATGTTTGTCCATTGAGAAGCTGCTATTTTTGGCCATGAGTACATACACATCACTTTTCAAATTGACCAATATGCAAGTCAATTTTCTCACACATACTGGAATAAGGATAGCCTACAGTACATACCTTTATCTTGAGTTCCTTTTTTATGTCTTTATTAGTATATCCTCTTTCTTCTGCAAAATTATGAACCCATTTTTGGACTTCAGATTTAGAGACATCGTCCTGTTCTTTTACTTCTTGGTTAGGTGGTACCACAATACCACTTTGCGTCGGCATCAAACCTGGATAACTGCCGTAGCTTGCTTGAGGTAATGTTGGTGGTAACAGCGGTGGTGGTGGCATATACATGTTACCATGTGTGTCATACATTTGTGGAGGGTATTGCATACCTGGGTCCCTAAATTGTCTATCAGAATACATTTGGTTTGCCATTTGGTTTTGTGCATAACTTGAGGAAGCATTTGGGAAGGAGTTTGGCTGCATAGGATTACAAGTCCCTGGAGGCATCATTCCTGCAAACGGTGGGATATTCTGAGTAGGAGGCATGTGGAGGGAATTATTGTAAGGAGGTAAGCCTTGGCTTTGTCGATGTCCCTGTGAACTATCTTGTCCATGTGAAGAGGTGAGATGTGATGTACTATTTGCATTTAGATACGAAGGATTCATCTGCGTACTGTAAGCCTGGCTCATATCACAGCTAAAGTTCATATTTGTATTCTTATATCCTTCATTCGTATTCGCTTGTCCTGGATGGAAATGGTTTCTATCAACATCTAGTCTTGGTTTATCAAGTTGATGTCCATAAACACCACTTTTACCACGAAATTCATCACTACTATCCAATCTTTTTGACATGAAACCTGAACGAAGCGGCTCTCTTGTTTGTGATACATTATTTCTTGCGTTGAAATCTGTCCAGTTAATTTTTCTATTCGGTAAATTTGGGTTATTAACCCTTGGACTATAAAACCCTCCACCGTCCGCCATCTTGAAAATAACTGGCCAGGTTACATGATTGTTTCATTAGGGAGGGGTGGGTAGGGATAGTAAATGTTGGTTGAAATCTTGTCAAGGGAGGGGTGAGTAAAGAGTTATCCAACATGGCGAAAGGATGTGGCGATTTTGTCCACGAAGGGGAAAAATATTTCAATCTGTTGAATCAGATGTTTGTACAAGATCCAGAAATGTAAGTACATCAAACTTAATTGAATAAAGTATATTTAACTATTTAAAATCCTCTTCCAAGGACAGTAACTAATAGATTTAGGATTATTTTTGAACAAAAGCATTTCATAACTCGAGTAGTTTTTATATAAATAAAATTGTTTGATCTGTTCTGTTTTAATGATTCCTATTTCATTTTTTTCTCTCTTAAAAATATAAATAAGATTCTAGTAATCGTTTTGTGAGACTAATGCAGTAATCTGTTATCTGAGGCTACCAAAATTTTCACATTTAAGTCTACAGATACACGTAAAGATTTACATTGTGTGGTTTATTGGCATGGGTCGATATTATCTACCTGTCTCTTTTTATTATCAATTCTTTATGATTGTACAATTTCATTCTTTCACCACTTAAAGTTCGTTTATATAAATATAAAATTATAGAGTGCAAACAATATTAATCCATGAAACACTAATTACTAAATAGTACAAAATAGTGCTAATTAAACAACAGAAAACAATGGAATTTGCATGAAATTGTGCTATTTAGTATTACTAAAGTTTCACGGTTATATTGTTTGCACTCTACAACTTTTTTTTATAATTTTATCTCTATATTGTGTGGTTATTATACATGTTTTTTGTTAAAATGTCTGCACATTGTAGTGGTTATGAAGATATAGTTTTCTGTTTTTACCACTCCAATTCAAGACCTTGGTTGAAGATCAGCCTAAACTCCTAATATCTCATTTCAGTGAAGAAGTAGATATCATATTCTGCCCTCAATGTAAAGTAAATCAAGAAGAGAAAACCATTTGTGCCATGATCAATGAGAAGCATATTCTAGGAATACGATCATGGTGTGTGCAACCATTGTACATGTATGCATATAATAAATTATTAAGGGCAAGAAAACATAAGGGCATTACCTGTTATAATAGTTTATCTGGTAAGTGTATATATATGATGACATTGTTTAGTTCCAAGAATTATCTACCTCTCCCCCCCCC